CCCAGCTCCACCTGCCTGGGTCAACAGACCTGTGCTGCTTTTCGGCCGTCTTACAATTGTTATACAAGGAGAAACTACCTATAGGGTCAGTTTTATGTACCACCCTGTAAAATTTGGACCAAAGCTGACTTGGCCATGGAAGAACTGCATTTTTTAGAGTTTTACATTGGCTCCATTTCACAGCCCTGGTGGTTAACAACTGAAAGAAAACTGCTGGTTAAATGACAGCTGTAAACCAATGATATGTTGCTGTGCTAACAATCAGTTGTAATCTGACTGCTCAAACTGTGGAGGTGTATGACCCTCTGCTGTTAATCCCATCACACAAATGAGAGGATTATAGATCTATGCGCGCCCCATTATTATCAGAACCGTTTTTAGCTCCTTCATATTGCTTTTACATTTAAAAAAAAATGCTGTCAAAATATTAAGAACCATCTTAACACATAAAACTTCAGACTTGTCACAGATTCAAGCACTCACAACCATCTTGGATCCTTGGCCCGTCAATTTTCTACCACCCACTGCAACTGCATGGAGCTAAAAATAGGAATGACTGTCCGATTCATCTTTTTGAAGACAGACTGCTTTGAAGGAATAGGAAGGAATGGCAGTAATATGGTGATTGCCAGAGATTAAAATAAGTATTATTTGAATTTATTTATGCAGGTATATCAGGTATATAACTGGCTAGTTCTTCACTATATGACATATAAGATATGTCAAGCAGTAACACTGAATCCCACCCATAAAAGAAAAAGAAAAAAATACAAGCAGGAGCAGCTTATAACACCTTCCTCATTTATTTTCATCTGCCCCTAGAAAACCGTTGTAAAATACTCAAAAACAATAAATCATCAGCAAATTACAGTAAAACAAGAGCATAACTGCACAGAGATATTCTTGCTGAGATCATAAAAGCTCAGTTATATTTCTATGTTGACATGTAAAGTCCAAAGAAAAATTATTTACCGATTCTTAGAAACTCAAATTATTCAGGAATAGTTTTGGACGGCATGTATGGACAAAGAACACTTGTTTAAAAAACAAACAAAAAAAACAGTGTGCACCATCCTATATTAGGATCTTATTAATTAATCAGGCTTTTAATCCTTTTCTCGGTATCAACAAAAGTGAAAGCACAATACCAAGGGGAGCCGCTGTATTGAACTCGATTCTACTTGTTTCAATCACATTATGGTCTACTCAGCGAGAACTGATTATTTTCAGGCATAAACGTTTCCTTATAATGTAAATCTGAAATCCTAATATATTCCGGAAATTGTGCCAAGAAATAAACATGGCCTTAATGGCATTTTTTTTAGTAATTAGCACCATTAATAAATTATACTATAAATTTCCTCGCCGAATAAAACACATCGTGATTATTTCTGAGCGGAGAAAAAACAGGTGTCCCTTGTACTCATTTAATGTTTGATATTAAAATGTTTATGCTTTCGTCTGTCGTCGTTGCTGTGCCTCCCATAGGGACAAGTAAATGTAACAGAAGCTAAGCAGCTAGCCTTAGCCTAGCTACAGTGCACGCATCGCTGGCAGTTGTTTGCATTACAACCGTTCACGCTGACAGTGAAGTCAATGCCTAACAGCAACATGAAACACACAAAACTAATTGCAGTTTTGTTGTCAGGGGCTGATGTGCTGCAGAATATTCGCGGCCTTATTAGCTACATGCTAATAAGTCTACGGCTCTGGATGTATGAGGAGGGTGCTACATGCTAACGCTACAGCTAATGTTGTCAACGGCAGTTACACGTAGACTAGCCAATGGTAGCAAGTTAGCCGGATAAGCTACCCCAACAGGCAACATAAAAACACCAAAGAAAGCCAGGAATGACAGGGGACCGAGAGGCTTCATTTGGACACCTACCTGTCATGTAAAATAAAGCGGACGGTGTGTCTTTTCTTCATAATCACAGTAGCACTAAAGGAAACGAGGGGAAAACAACAGGACTCACAGCAGTTAATACCGGTATACGGACCATCATGCACTGCTGGAAAGAGGAACATCGACGTCAGGTTCTTTATTTGCCTGTTTGCAAGTTTCAGTCTTCACCTTATTGATATTATTGGCCAAATTTCATATACATAAGTCGAAATTTTCTAACGCAAAACCATCCTTTCGGTGTTTTTTAAATGAAACCAAACAATATGTTAAAACCATACAACATTCTCAAAATCAAAAAGCTGTCAAAACCATAAACCTATGTTCCCTGTTCAATATCATGTGATTCTATAATAGACTGTGTCTATTTTGCTTTTTTATACGAACCCCCTGACATTGTGTTTGCTATTTTGTATTTGTATATCTGTATTTTGTGCTTTTGCAATAATAATAATAAAAAAAAACATTCAAAAAAAAAAAAAAGTTTCAGTCTTCAAAGCTCGCTGCTGCCCCCTGCTAACTAAAGCTGAATCGGTCCATATCAATGTCATTGGTCCGTATACAGTAGACAACAAAGTGCGCACTCACCGGCTACTAGATACAGCTGTTAGACTGTTATATAAACAGTTTATAGCATATCTAATATAGCAGCAACTCAGCATTTTGTCATGTAGACATTGTTAAGACGAACTGCTGTTCAAATTGAGTATCAGAACGGACAACGAAAGGTGATAAGTGATTGTGAAGCAGGGTTTAACTTAACTGCACAACAGAAGATCAGAAAAACGCTGACCGGGCATACTTACAGTAACAACCGCATAATTTTAATGGAATAACCTACGAGAGTAGTGCTATTGAACTTTCCGTCTTCTTATGGCCACTCTGTCCCCGGTCTTTCGATGGCTACTTCCAGCAGGATAACTCGCCATGCCGCAAAGCTAAAATAATTTCAAATAGGTTTACTGAACACGATATATTAAACGGTGTTACGGTAGTGCCTATCCCAGCTGTCGAGAGACAGGGTCACCAGTCTAACAGGGTTAACGAAGAGAGATAGACAACCTCACAATGTCACCTATGGGCAATTTAGCCTAACCCCATTAACTGCATGTCTTTGGACTGTGGGAGGAAGCCGGAGTACGCGGACAGGACCCACGCAAACACGGGGGAACATGCATAGCATGATTGTGGAATTGAACTCAGAACCTTCCTGCTGTGATACAACAATGCTAACTAATTTATTTCTCGCTGGTAATGCCCTCATTCATTTTAGGATGCTGGATCTACCCAAGATTCAATTCAATTTTATTTATACAGCGCCAATCACAACAGCTGTCGCCTCAAGGCGCTTTATATTGTAAGGCATACTTTACAATAATACAACAGAGAAAACCTCCACAATCATGTGACCCCATATGAACAAAGCTTTGGCAGCAGTGGGGAGGAAAAAACTCCCTTTTAACAAGAAGAAACCTCCAGCAGAACTAGGCTCAGGGAGGGGCGGTCATCTGCCGTGAGGGAAATAGGACCAGATATGTTGCTAAATTTATTTTTTCATATTGTGAAATGTTTTAGAAAAAAACTGTAATTATAATAATTTTATGTTATTCAGAGGTTGAATGAAAATACTAGACGCCTTAGTGCAGGCTAAACTGTGGTAAAGTTCACAGTAATGCACTGGACTGTGCAGGACAAGGTGTGATAATCATGCTCAATGTGAGGCTACAAGGGTAGCGGACATTAATTCAAGGTACTGATGCTGATTAGATGTAGTCAATGAATTTTACCTTTTATAGCAGCTTTATAGTGTGTAGAGGTTGGAAATGAGCCATATAGCTTATTGAACAACTGGTTATATCTTCTTGAATTCACTAAATCAGTAAAGACCAGTGAACTGGAGTCAGATCACATTCAAAATACAAAGTGTAAATGTTCAGTATGAATCCAAAGATGTGACTTGTACTTGAAAATGAGTTTATGCACATTTACCAATCTTGATCCAGCTGGCTTTCCATCAGCTGTACTTTTCCAGTTTGGGCTAAATGACGTCCCTTTTGCTCCAAACACATTATCCAGTCCACATCAGTACAGTACTCAGCCGGATTCATTTTCAATGTTCTCAATTTTTTGTGTATACACATCTATATCTTGATATATAGATAGACTCATTTAAAATCTAACTTCCACTACTCTTATATGAATACTCTGGTTGTATATGTACAGTAAACAAACAGTCACAAATTTCAGCCTTGTTTTTATTGTTCGCTATCGGTACAAAAAAAAAGAAAAGAAAAAAAAAAAGGAAAAGAAAAGTGTACAGCATGACTGCATAACCAAGAAGGAGACACACTTTAAAAACAGGCTAGTGACAAAATATAATGAATACCTGGTTCACAGGAAATGAGTCAGAGCGAACGTATCAGCATCTGCTTTGATGCTTTCAGGCTAACATTCCCTCTCATCACGGTTTTGGTTGATGATGCTGTTAATTTCTTGCATGATGAGTCAAAACAAAAAAATAACAATAAAGATACTTGGATAATATTTCTTAAAACTCATCAGGGACAAAAATTAAGTTTAGAGAAAGGTACAAGAAAGAGGTCCAAGAATCTTTACAATCAGAATAAAACATAATTAAGAAAATATGAAGTACATGATGAATTTAAAGTGACAGGTTTGGCCTCAAGATATTGGACAAATGCTGAATACAGAGCTGCTGAGCTACCTGGGTCTGTAAGGAAATGTAACTATTTCCTTATAAATAGTATAAATGTAACTATTTCCTTACAGGTCTGTAAGGAAGTCTACATTTATTGCTTGTAAAAAAACAATTGTTAAAACAATGATCACTGATTTGAAGTCATTCATCTCTTTAGTTGAAAAATGTAAAAACTTATAGATGTTTCAAGTCACAGGAGAGCAGCTTAAAAAGTTTCCCAGATACAGTTTTGCTAGCTTGGGTTCAGAGTTTGCATTCAAAGAAAAAAAAAAAAAAA